AAAAAAAAAAAAAAAAAAAAAAAAAAAAAAAAAAGCTGCTACATATGAGCCTTTGCTCTCGGCAAACTTATTTTTTTCCTTCTTTTTCTTTTCTTTTTTTTCTCGGCAAACTTTAATGCTTGGGAGTCCAATTTATTGCACAATTACAACAGGACCCTTCCATTGAATCTGACCATAGACAGGGCCTCGTTAGACACTTCTTATGGTTTCCTTGAGCCACAAGGAAACGTCCTTGTGGATTTTTAGGGGAATTTGCAGCGTCGTTCCACTCATCCTTGGGGACGTCCCCCGAGGATGTTTCCTTGTGGCTTCCCCGCGGCCAGTTTCATATGCAAATTAGCGGCTGCGGGGTCGGACGTCCTTGGTGCAGTCTCTTTTGTCCGTGTGGAGACGCCGTGGTCCAGCGACGCGAGGCGGGAAACGGCAGACGTCGGGCGACGCGGAGAGAAATTAAACCCCAAGGGCGTGGGCATTTGAAATTCAAAATTCGAACGACCGCTGCGACGACGACGACGACGTGTGCCTGGCGGCGCGAGGTTGGCGTGCTGCGGAAAGTGGCTGAGTGGCGGCGGAGGTTCCGTCCCCAGGCCGTTGCGATTACGCGGGCAGCGTTTGGTGCTTCCATCGCCGTGGACGTTTACACGCGTCGACTGCGTGTTGCTCCTCTTTGCCGTCTGCGGGACTGTCGACATAGAAAAGGGGCCGCCTTTCGACGCGTGCGGAAGTACGACACAGCCGGCAGCGGAACGACGAGACCGTTTCGACGTCCCGGCTATGGAGGGCGGCGTAGAGGGTAGACGTGATCCGTTGAGTCATGGTGAGCTGCAGGCAGTGGCGACGGCCGTGTCCACGATCATTCTTCGATGTCAGCAGAAGAGGGCACTGGGGCGGCTGAAGGACCAGTTGCGTGCGCGTAGACGGAGGAAATTGACGCAAGATCCGTTCGATGGGGCCGATTACGTGGCGATGTCGGAGGTTGTTGTTCAGCTGTGCTACGCGTTGGGTTGCGGAGTGATACCACGTGCGACGCCGCGGTGGTGGGTGAAGCGCAAGACAGGAGGCACGTGGGAAGACCTCAGGCAATGCGACGACGCGACAGAGGACTACTTCCGGGATAAGCTTCGAATGTCGCCGCGAGTGTTCAGGGAAATTGCGGAGGCGTGTGCGCCTCATCTTCAGCGACGGGTCACGTTCTACAGGGAGCCTTTGCAGCCGGACCAGATTTTGGCGTACCTCCCTCCCGACCACCCCCCCTACGCGTCCTCTTTTCCATCGTCGTCGTCGTCGTCCTCCAAGGGGCAGGAACCCAACCAATCCCTCCTCTTCGCGTCCTCTGGCCCCGTTATGCTCGTATTTTGCCCAAAGACGATGCCGCAGGAAGCCCAGTCGGGGATGTACTTCGGGTACTCTCCGAGTGTTGCGTTCGCCTTCCCCAGTCTCTCCGTGACAGCGTTCGTGGCTCGGATAATGGACCGTCGATGATCGAAAGCGTGATGCATGGACGCGACTAGCGTGGGCTTCGCGACCAACTTTGAGAAGTAAAAGGCTTCGTAGTGGCTGCGCGCATCATCTCCCGCCATGCGCATCAACCACATGCAAGCAGCCAACAACAATCTGAAGCAATCCGCAATTCTACACAGATGCTCGTGCGAGATGAAACCGCCGTCGACGATGCCGCCCATTTGCACCGTGGCGCGAAACGCATGCGCGATGCATATTACGGTAGACTCCTGGTGCGCTGCCATGTCGTCGTCCTTCGGCCTGTCTTCGATGCTCGTGCCCGCAAACCACAATGGCAAGTCCATGTTCAGGTCGATTGTGTGCGCGCAAACGGGCGTGCTAACGACGTTACTCCACTCCTCGTCGTTCCACATGACGCGCGCAATGTCCGTCGCCACCGACTCCAACGCGTATTGGAAAGCGACATTGAATCCTCGGGGGCGGTTCCCGGACTTGAAAACCCATCCATGCAAGACGCGCAGAGCGATATTCTCCGCTGTCATCGCGCGGGCAATCGCCTGCTGCAGTTGTGCGGGATCCGCAATCCTTGTGAGGGTCGTCGATGATTTCGGCATGACGACGCTCCTGGGCACGAGGGGCGTTTGCATTCCGCTGGCGATGGCGACAAAGTACTCCTGCAATTTGTGGACGATGTTGTACAGCCTTCGCCCCTCCCCCATCGTCCAGAACGCTTTGTCATCGACCCACAGGCGGGCACGGTCGGCCAGATCTCTCGCCATTCCTCCCCTCCGAACCCGGCTTAGAAGGGGGTCTTCATCCTCCCTTTCCCCCTTGTTGTCGACGCGCGCTGCCTTCCGCTCCACAACTGGGACCTCTTCTCTCGCCCTCGCCACGGCACCAACATTGCCCGAAGACCCCGCGGCTGCAGCAGCGATGGCAACCCCACTCGCCACGCGCGTTTCTTGTTGGGCCCCCTCCCCTCCCCCGCGTTCCATGGAGCCCCCCTCTACAGCTGTGTTGTGCGGGCGCGGCTGGGACGGCGTCAAGGGCAGGCCACCCTAAGGTGGCCTTTCTTCAGTCGCGGCGCGTATCCTGACTGCAGTCGCCGTGGCACCTTGTATCACATTGCGCTGTCTACGGCTCTCCAACGGCTCGTCGTCCTCGCCGCCGACATTGACGACTACCTCCTTCGCCTTCTGGGTGTTGTGCGCACACACTTGTTGCGCCTCCGGAGGGGGCATCACCAATCTTTTCGCATCGCTCTGATCACACGACCGTTGAAGAGTGCTTCCCCAAGGCGCCGCCACGTTCTCCTCTGCTGCTTCCTCCTCCGTCGTGAATACGTCGTCATCTTCCTCCTCGTTGGCTGCCGTCCAACTTCGCCCTCGCCGATTAGGCAGGCTAGCAGATGCTTCTTCTGAACGAAGCCTCTTCGCCTTTGGGACATGTCGCCGACCCCTTTCCCGCCCCTGACTGTCCGCGGGGATGTTTTCCCGCTTCTTTCCATGGGCGCCGCCGCACGTAGACATGCTTCCCGCCTCCGTCAATGGCCGTTTGTGGCCACGCCTTTGTTCGCGTCGACGACGAACAAGCGCCTTTGGCGCCCTGGGGAGCAATTCGTCCTCGCCCTCGCCACGCACACTATGTCCACGTCGACGCGAACGCGAGAAGGAGATGAACCCTGCGGACACTTCTCCGCGGCGAGATGAAGATCTTCGCGAAGCGACGACGGACCTCTGAAGGGGCGAAACGTATCCGCGGCGAGAAGGATCCGCAGCGAGAAGGATCCGCGACGAGAAGGATCCGCGGCGAGAAGGAGAACGATGAAGGGCGAGAGCGACGATCGACGACGACACTGATGAAGTCGCGCACGTGAAGGAGACGAAGCCAGCGTGCACCGCTCCGCGGCGAGAAGAAGATCTTGGCGACTGATGGACGCTGGACCTCTCAAGGCGCGATACGGATCCGCGGCGAGAAGGTTCCGCGGCGAGAAGGAGATCGAAAATATCCACAGCGAAGAAACGACGACGCCGAAGAAAACCAAGCCAACAACGACAGCGAAAAAACGAGCGACTTCGTAGTGGCTTTGCGCTGCGACGACGAGGAGAAAAGGCAGAGGGCGTCCCCCGTGGATGTCGTCGTTGTGCACCATGTGCGCCGACCTTCAATGCTGGAGAAGGCACAAGCGGAAGACCTTTATGGTGGACGACGGGTCGACGAACCAAAAGCATGGACCAAACGGATGGGCCCCGGCGACGATTCCTCGCGTGCCGTCATCGTCGACAGCGACACGTTGTGGGGAAAACCCGGGGAGGGGTTGCCTACCGTTCGCTGAAGCCAAGGGCAACAGCGCCTGTCACTCGCTGCGCCCGCTTCCGAGGTCCTCAGCGACCAGTAGGGTGCCAGTTTATATTTTGGTCATCTGTCACGTTCCTTTTTGAAGACCGAACTCAGGCAGCGTTTTCAGTTTTCCCGATAGGTTGGAGAGGGAAGCAAGGCTCAATCAAGCTTTTGTTGATTCTAAGTTGTAAACACGTAACTTCACAGTGGCCAATTCCTTCCAATATCAAATGGACGAAGAAAATGGCAATGAGATCGAAATTTTAATAATGATTGTCGCTCATACACCTTGCGATAATTGAGAGTTCACACCACACTCACCGTTCAAATTCACTCGCCCGGGCAATGATCAACAAGATCCCGGTTCAGCAACGAGCGATATGAAATTGACCCAGCAATGATCGGCGAGTATTGGTTGGCCAAAAGATACATAGTGTTTCTGCCTATGAGCGGCGAATTGCCGGTTTTCTAATGGGCATCCGAAGTCTGATTCGTCAATGAGCAGCGTGCGTCTACCCCCTCTACGAACAGAGGTTGTCTGATTCGTTGATGAGCACCTTGTGTCTGCCCCCTTGATGCACAGTCCATGTCTGATCCGTTGGAGACCAGCGCGTGTCTGCCCCTTCCCTTGATGAGCGGGAGGGGTCTGATTCGTTGATGAACTGTGTAGAACAATAGCACAAAACTGGTTGATCTCCTAATGAACAGTAAGTGTCTGACGTCTTGGATGATTTCTGGTTCCTCTTCAGGTTAGACTCAAATAAATAAATAAATAAACCAATAAATAAAGTGAGCTCTCCGACGGCGCCTTCCCGCACTTTCTCGCATACCAATTCTCTCTTCCCCTCTCTCTTCCCTCACTCAGTTTGTGTGTGTGTGTGTGCTCATGCCAACTATGCACAACTCCCGGAAGAAACTCACGGAAGAAACTAAACGTCCGACTGTTTGATTACTCACTCATGATCAATGATGACCTTGTACTCAATCGGGGGGTCTCGGTGTCGCCGCGTGTCCATCTTAGAGAGAAAATTCAGATGTAACAGCCATGATCTGTTCCGTATGGGCTTCTTACTTGATTTAGGCGGGTACCTCTTGTCAAATGATTCACAGCTATGCATCGATCTCCAATGAATCGGTGGTCATCCGGGTCCGGATTCGTAGCATCCTGTTGCCCGACCATGTAGCAGCATGTCATGGTGAGCACTGAGCAGCACATACAGTAAGAACAACTGGAGGGCTACATTGGCACTGCCCCCCCCTTGAATAGAGCACACAGTCATCGGGGCTGTATTAGATCAATGAGTTTGTTGCCTTTCATACTCTTTCCCTCGTTTAGAACACACGGTTTCCATTGTATCTGGGCTTTTCCCCGTTCAGATACAACCAAATCATCTGTGCCATATATGCGGGAAAGTAGTGCGCTTATTCACACGCTTGGTCTCTTCCCTACTTACTCCCTCACCCGTTCTCTCACCCATTCTCTCTCTCTGAGACTCTCTCTCTCTCTCTCTCTCTCTCTCTCTCTCTCTCTCTCTCTCACACACACACACACACACACACACACACACACTGCGCACAGTCTCTTTGGCTGGCATACGACCGCGATCTGAGCCTGCAATCTAATTAGGAGCTCAATTTTGGTTAAATCCCAGGAACCAACTTGAGGGCTTGATTTACACTGGTCCTGCTGCTAATCAGCGAGCTCGACTGTTCATCGAACCAGCAAACCAATGAACAGCTTAATTTTGAGTAATTCCATGAGCCAACTTGATGACTTGATGCACATTGTCCTGCTGTTGAACAGCGAACTTGACTGTTCAGCGAACCGGCAAACGAATTAACCACTCAATTTTGAGTGCTTCCATGAGCCAACCTGATGGCTTGATTCACTTTGATCCTACTGTTGATCAGCGATCTTGACTGCTCAGCGAACCAGCAAACCAATCAACARCTCAATTTTGAGTAATTCCCTGCATTTCAGTGATTCAAGGGCTAATTAGCGGCTCAATAGTCAGTGAGCCAGCGACTAATYAGYGACTYAGATTGGATACTSRACGGCRATCCAGCGCTGCTSGACGRGAATTACAGTTRCCCTAGACATTCTCAGCAGATTGATTTCAACGTTCCTGATCACAGCCGCTTAGTGGTGAGAAAGCTGGTTCTAGATCTTTATATTCATTGGCTTACCCACTCTCCCACTCATTCTAGGCGCACTCTCTCTCTCAACCAGTGCACCCTCTCTCTTTCCCTTATTCACTATTTCCCTCTCGCTGCACACTCTTTCTCTCTCACTCACTCTCACTCTCTCTCTCCCACTCGCTGCTCACTCTTTCTCTCTCTCTCTCGCTGCACGCTCTTTCTCTCTCACTCACTCTCACTCTCTTTTCCTCATTCTTACTCACTCTCTCGCTCACTCACCTTCTTCACCACATATTTGCGGGGGGAAAGGCTCCATCTCACTGCAGCTCCCACACACGCCATGACCTCAGCCTGCTTCCTCACGCGAGCAGGCATGACCCAACACCATCTCCGCTGTGGACTCCTGGTCCGCTGTTCCGGCACACTCGTTCACTGCGTTCCCTGCGGTCACAGCTCACGCGCTGCAGTCCCTGTTCTCCCTGGTCGCCCAACTGCCGAATCTCCCCCTTAAACAAGCTTATCTCAAGTCAGTCTTCTCTCGAAGAGTACCCTTAACGCAGCACACACTGTCTGGTTTCCCCTCTCCCTCGAGCGCGTCGTGCACGATGGACTCCACTTCCCGCTTCGCTGGGTGCGCCTCGCCCGCCTTGCCTCTCCTTTAACCGCCCCGCGCCGAATTCCTCCCGGCTCACTGCAGCTCGAGTCAGCGGTGTGCTGGGTACGCCTGGCATGCCATCCCATTTCCTTCACTGTTCTCCCCTATATCCGCTTCAGTCCCATGGTCTGACCGACCAGGGCCTTCTCGGACTGCAAGTGTGCAGGAAATAGTCCRCCGCGCCACGGAGGAAAAAGAAAACATTGGTACCGGTCTCACAGGCTCGTCGTACCGTACCTGAAACATGTCGAACACGGCAAGATGCAGCGGCGCGGTAATAGTACCGAACTTGAAGTAAACCGTCGCAATGATCCTGGACCTGAAAATAAATCACCGAAGAGGTTCCGAAATAAACTGTTGTGAGGGCGTCGAACTTGAAACGAAACACCGCGATGCCACCGAACCTGACCAAACCCGAAGTCCAGTACCGGGCTGTTGTGCCATGCGAATGCCGAACCCGTACAATCATGCCATGATAACCTGTCCCGAACCTGATATAGAATGCCGCAACGTTCCCGGTCCTCAAAACAAACTGCCGCCTGGAATAATTGTTGTAGTAGCCCCGGTCCTGATAATAAATCACTGCAGCTGTCTCAAACCTGAAAATAAGTCACCGTAGTGAGACAGCTGTTACCGGGCCCATACCGTACCTGAAGCACGTCAGACACCGTAGGACGTAGCCACTCCGTAACGACCCTCGTATCGGTACCGAACCAAACACCATAGTCGACCCAAGGCAGCACCACCCCATGCTGTCCATGCGACTCCTGCTCTCAGAACATCTCAATTGCGGTAATGTTAGTATTCAAGCACACTAGGAAAAGCGTCGCAGGGAACCTCGACCATCGGTAGTAGTGTTAACTTGTTAAAAACCGGGGAAAATGATCAATCCGGAGTCAGAGCTGATGGCGGGTA